TAGGGCAGGGCCTAACTGTGTGGAGTGGGGTCTGAGCTGACGAATTGCAGGCGGTTGCGGGACCCAGGTTTGGGTGGGCGGAGCGTGTTCTATAGTGGGAAGCCTATTTGTTCGGGAGCGAAGGCAGAACCTGGGGGTCGCACTTGCCTCCCACCGCCATTCACCCTCCCTTTCAGGTTTACAGCAGTATGGAGCAGCTGTCACAGCATGAGCCCAAGACCCCCGTGGCGGCAGCGGGGGGCAGCAAGCGGGAGCCCAGCGCCAAGGGTCTAGAGGAGAAGGTGGCCGGCAAGCGGGAGGGCCTGGGTAGCCTGACCCTGCGCGAGAAGAGCTGGAGAGGGGGCTCCCCAGAGATGTGAGCAGGGGCAGGGCTATGTTTGGGGAGAGGGCATGAAGGGGCCGTGTCACCTCTGACCTACGCCCCCTTTCAGCAGCAAGCGCTTCTCAGCCTCAGAGGCCAGCTTCCTGGAGGGGGAGGCCAGTCCGCCGTTGGGTGCACGCCGCCGTTTCTCGGCGCTCCTGGAGCCCAGCCGCTTCAGCGCCCCCCAAGAGGATGAGGATGAGGCCCGGCTGCGCAGGCCTCCCCGGCCCAGCTCTGACCCCCCAGGGTCCCTGGATGCGCGGGTCCCCAAAGAGGCAGCTCAAGGAGATGGCACCGCCAGCGCCGCCGGGGACTCCGAAGCCAGTGAGTGCCTCCTCCTGCGTCCTTACTGAGTTCCCCAGTGGCCGTATATTGAGCATTCAATGAGACTGGTACAGTTTATGCAAAAATCTTATATATTTTACACACTCCAACCTGGGTTCGTGTCGGCATAAGGAACACGCTGCATTCCATGCTCGGCCAGTCAACAAATGCACTTGAGCACTTTTCTATATCAGGAGATGCGCCAGACGCATGTTACTTGCTCTCAGGAAACTCACATTCAACCAAGGCCAGAAGTGGGAAAAGCATTCCAGGCAGAGTGAACGCATGCAAAAGGTCTGTGACCTTGGACTGACTCCTAACCCACGTGCTCTGTTGCAGCTGACCGACCACGCCCAGGTGACCTCTGTCCACCTTCCAAGGATGGGGACCCATCGGGCCCAAGGGCCACCAATGACCTGGTTCTGCGCCGGGCTCGGCATCAGCAGCTGTCAGGGGACCCCGCGGTAGAGAAGCGGCCTTCTCGAACCGGAGGCAAAGTCATCAAGTCAGCCTCAGCCACTGCCTTGTCTGTCATGATTCCTGCAGGTGATGCGGGGCCCCACCTAGGAGGGAAGGGGCTGTCCTCATTTGTGCCAAGACAGGCCAATGAAAACACAGCATTTTCCCTGCCCACAGTGATTGGCACTGGGGTGGACCAATGAAAGATCTGGGACTTGACTAGGAAGGAGGGAGGAGCAGATAGGAGAGCTGTGACTGCTGGCCCTGACCTCTGTCTGTGGTTCTGTGCCTGCAGTGGACCCCCATGGAAGCTCACCCCTGGCCAGCCCCATGTCCCCACGATCTCTCTCCTCCAACCCATCCTCGAGGGACTCCTCACCCAGCCGGGACTACTCACCGGCTGTCAGTGGGCTCCGCTCCCCTATTACCATCCAACGCTCTGGCAAGAAGTATGGCTTCACACTGCGAGCCATCCGCGTCTACATGGGTGACTCGGATGTCTACAGTGTCCATCACATCGTCTGGGTGAGCACTCATGGGTGGGTGTGTGTTTTAAGACGGGGATGGAGGCAGAGAACCCCTTGCTCTTCACCCCCAGGGGTGGGAGACAGCTCAGTCTCTGGATCCAGGCAGCCTAGATGAGACTCCTGTGACCCGCAGTGTCCCTTCCCCCTCCGAGCTTCAGTTTCTTTAGTTGTAAACTGGGAAGAATAATTACTATTTCATAAGGATTGCAGTGCATGCAGTGCACTCAGTGCTAGGTGTCTGGCACATAAGCTTGGGGAGCTCACTTGTTACTGATCCTGTTAACACTGACCTGTGTGGTGCCCTGTCCCCAGCACGTGGAGGAGGGGGGTCCAGCCCAGGAGGCAGGGCTCTGTGCTGGAGACCTCATCACCCACGTGAATGGGGAGCCTGTGCATGGCATGGTGCACCCTGAGGTCGTAGAGCTGATCCTTAAGGTGAGTGCAAGGGAGGGAGCACACTGGGGAGAGGGAGAGGGGGAGGGGAGGTCCTGGGAGCTGGAGCTTCCTGAACGGCCTCCAACAGAGTATTTGCCTCCCTTCTTCCCCCAGAGTGGCAACAAGGTGGCAGTGACCACAACACCCTTCGAAAATACCTCCATTCGCATTGGCCCTGCAAGGCGCAGCAGCTACAAGGCCAAAATGGCTCGAAGGAACAGGAGACCCTCTGCTAAGGAGGGGCAGGAGAGGTGGGTGGGGCCAAATGCAGTGGGTGGGACTATACGCAGCAGGCAACGGCAATACTCCAGTCTGAACAGTGGAAGGGCTAAGATGGAAGGGCCACAGGAGAGAACAGGAGAAGGAAGTGTGGTGGCCACCGAATAAAGAACAAAAAGAAGGGGACAAAGGAGGTGGAGCTGGGAAAGTGGAAGGAACCAGGAAAGGAAGCTGTGCCAGGTTCCTGGGCTGGGAAAAAAGCATTGTGGGAGTGTCTCGGGCAGATGGGCAAGGCCAGAATACACGGATTAGAGAGGGCGCAGTTCAGGAGGTGGTCTTGTCCTGACGGATGTGTTTGGTCGACTGGGAAGGGCCAGGAGAAAGGATTTCTATCTGGAATGAGCAAGCCAGGTAAGACTGGGGAAATTGGAATTTCTTTTCTTATAGGCAGGAGGAGCTAGGAGAGGTAGGTGGGTGAGGATTGTGAGTGAGGATTTAAGTGAGAGCCAGACTGAACTGTCAGGTGAATTTCTTCCCTCCTGCTCTGATAGGTGGGATGTAGCTGGAGGGGGAGGGGTCAGAAAATATTGGTTCTGCTTTGATGGGTGTCTCTAGCTTAGACTAGGAATGGCCAGCCAGGAATGGGTGGGGCCTGAGGTGGGAGGAGCCAAGCGGACCAAAGCTGTAAGAAGTTCTTTTGGTTTTGATTGGTGGGTTGTAGTTATAGCTGGAGAGGGAGGGGCCAGAGGAGTGGGCGGCCCCAAGGGCTGAAGTGGGAGGAGCCGGGAGTTCTGCTGTTCGGTCTCGGTAGATGCTCTCTCCTTGTCCCCCAGCAAGAAGCGCAGCTCCCTCTTCCGCAAGATCACGAAGCAGTCGAATTTGCTGCATACTAGCCGCTCACTGTCCTCGCTGAATCGCTCACTGTCATCCAGCGACAGCCTCCCAGGCTCGCCCACCCATGGGCTGCCAGCGCGCTCACCCACCCACAGCTACCGCTCCACACCCGACTCTGCCTACCTAGGTAAGCTCCCTGCCTACTCTGGGCCAAGCACTGGGTGGCAGGGGGCAGGTCCCCTGACGGTTCCTGCCGTGTGCAACACCTCCTCTTGCTTACCCACAGGTGCCTCATCCCAAAGCAGCTCGCCAGCCTCGAGCACGCCTAACTCGCCGGCATCGTCTGCGTCGCACCACATCCGGCCCAGCACGCTGCATGGCCTGTCACCGAAGCTGCACCGCCAGTACCGCTCTGCGCGCTGCAAGTCAGCTGGCAACATCCCGCTGTCGCCCCTGGCGCACACGCCGTCCCCCACGCAGGCATCGCCGCCACCGCTACCTGGCCACACAGTGGGCAGCTCACACACAACGCAGAGCTTCCCAGCCAAGCTGCACTCATCGCCACCGGTGGTGCGCCCGCGCCCCAAGAGTGCGGAGCCCCCGCGCTCGCCGCTGCTCAAACGCGTGCAGTCCGCAGAGAAGCTAGGAGCCTCGCTTGGTGCCGACAAGAAGGGCGCTCTGCGCAAACACAGCCTTGAGGTGGGCCACCCTGATTTCCGTAAGGACTTCCACGGTGAGCTGGCGTTGCATAGCTTGGCAGAGTCTGATGGCGAGACGCCCCCTGTCGAGGGGCCTGGCGTGACCCGGCAGGTCGCTGTCCGCCGCCTGGGCCGCCAGGAGTCGCCCCTCAGCCTGGGCGTGGACCCGCTGCTTCCAGAGGGCGCCCTCCCCAGTAAAGAGGAATCTCCTGGCGGTGCGGAGGGCTGCACCCAGGCCCGTGCGACGACTCCAGGGGGCCGGACCCTGGAGCGGGACGCCAGTGGCACGCGGCACCAGAGCGTGCAGACCGAGGATGGTGTGGGCGGGGCAGCCAGGACCGTCGCCAAGGCCACACTGAGCCCGGTACAAGAACATGAGACCGGCCGGCGCAGCAGCTCGGGGGAGGTGGGCACGCCCCCAGTGCCCATTGTTGTAGAGCCTGAGCGGCCTGGGGCCAAGGCAGAGGTGCCGCAGTCTTCAGTGTCGGACTCTAAAGGGTTGCAGGGATCCATACCCCCAGCGCCTCCCTCACCAGAGGCCCCCCGAGACCCGGAACGCTGGAAGCTGGAAGTGGTCCAGGAGCGGACCACGCAGAGCGGGCCTCGCTCTAAGCCCACCTCCCCCAAGCTCTCCCCGGACCCGCACACCCCTTCTCCAGGCCCTGTGAAAAGTACATCAAGCAGCACAGGGCCCCCAGCCTCACCTGCACCCCTTCTTGTCCCAGCCACCAAGCCTGAGGTGGGGCTGACTTCCAGGCACCCTGCTGAAGCTGTGCCCCCAGCAGGCCTGACCAAAAGAGTGTCCTGCCCCACACCCCCTGGCCCATAGCCCAGGGGGCCACTGGCCCTGCACTGTACAGCCGCCTGTATACATATGTACACATATAAATAAAGTCCGTCCGTGCTTCGTGAGCTTTCTCAGTCTTGCCCCTCTGCTGGCGAGGCAATGTTTCAGCCCCCTTTCCTGTCTGCTTGTTGGGAGGCAGATCTCCAGTCCTAGTCACCATAGAGAGGGGGAAGTGAGTCTTATGTGACCTTTCCTGTGGTTTCCCCATGAGCCAGCTGCCCCAGGCCCTCAAGCAGCCGTGCTATTTCAAGTCCCAGTGCCTACCGAAGGAAAGGTTAACAGCTCCATTCACCAGTTTCCTTTTATTTCTCACAAATCCGGAGCCAGGTGTTGTGGTTTCTATTTTGCAAATAAGTAGACTGAGTCACAGGTTGAGGCACATAGTTACGGTCACGCAATTAGGAAGGGACTAAACTGGGATTTAAACTGAAATGTAAATTGGCTCCTAAGCCTTAGCTTTTCTATGCTCTGCTGGGCTTCCTGGAGACAAGGCACTATTCTCCTCCCCACAGGGCATCCAGGCCTTCACCAGAGGCTGGAAGGCCTTCCAGAAGGCAGGCAGTTGGGTGCACACCGTGCCCCCACCTCGATGCATCTCTCCAGCATTTCGATTCATGTCACCCACACAGGCCCAGGGCCCTTCTGGGGCTACACACCACTTGGAGTGGTCTTCTGCAGTACTGAAGGTGGGCCCAGCTGGCCCAGAGAAGGCTATCTGGGTCACGTCGAGCACTTGCTGGGCCCCGGAGCAGTTGGAGGGCAGAATGCCACTGGAGTGTTGCCAGAACTGGACCTGCAGGTTGCTGCCAAGGGCTTCCGCCAACCAGCCGGAGTACAGGTCTGTGGAGGACGGAAAGAGGGCATGGACAGGGTCACCGCTAGGGACTCCCTGGGCTACTGCCCCTCTCTGAGATCAACTTCCTGAGGAATACCAACATTAATACTAACAGACTTTACTATACACTTTATAGGCATCACTTCATTCACAAGAACCCTTTACAGTAGATATTAGCACATCCATTTTTGCAGGTGGGTAAACCGAAGGTCCGGTTAAATCCTGCACCATACAACCAGAAACCAGTAGTTGAACTGAGGTCTGTTTGTTATCTCTCTATCTCTCATGTGTTTATGGCTCTCAAAGTATTCCAGTTCCTATCTCTGACCTGCCCTCGGCCATGGACACACCTGACGCCCCCTCTGTGGAGAAAGAGCTCTTTAACCCACAACCTCAGGTCTCACCATCTCCAAACTTTCCAAATTTGGCAAAGCTCTGGAAGATGGCCCCTGCCTTTGATGTGAGTGTTACACTGCTGTTCCAGGGTCCTTGGTCAACATGGTGGCCCTTGACCGCTTCCTCCAGGTCGGGTAATTTCTTGGTGAAGACCCCTTCCAGCCTGTAGTCATACACCTGGGGGTAGGTGTAGGTCAGCTGTCTGCCTGGAGGACAAGGGGAGGAAGACATGAAGGACAGTTCCACATTCTGGCCCAGGAATTTGGGAATCACCCTGCCTCCTTGTCCCCACTTACCAATCTTTGAGAATTGGTCGAAGGTAAAAGACACACAGAGCAGGGTCTGCCCATATTTTTGGGCGTTAGGAGGCCATCCGTATGCATCACTTGTAGGAAACCCAGGGACGCTGTGGACCAGCCAGAAGCCCCCTTCTTCATCCAGAAGTAGCACACCTGAACCAAAAGACTGGATCAGGGAGCTGCTCCAGGCAGCCCCAGCAAACACCTGTGCAACCAGGAACACCCTCAGTTTGCAGGGAACTTGGAGAGGGTACGGGCAGTGTCTGGACAGCTGCTGAACTCCTTCCTCAGCCCACCACTGTCACAGTCTGGAGAAAGGACAACACTTATAAAAGACGAGGAGCTCTCTCCCCGTCCCTGCAGGTCAGGAGTTAGCTAAGGAAAATGCGTAAGGAAACCAGGGCCCTTCCTCAGCCTCCAATTCCGGACTCACCCTTCGTGTGCCCTCGACTAGAAGAGTTCTGAGTCCTGTAGTTCTTAGGCGGTTGGTCATTGTAAAGTAGGTAGGCTAGCTGGGGAGGATGGAAAAGGCGACGTGAAGTTTTTTTCCGGGCCGGGCCCTCCCTAGAGTCCCATCCCAGGGTCTGCCGGCACCTGGCCCCTTCACCTGGCTGGTGTTCTTGTACAGCGGCAGCAAGCTGCGGCCTACGGCTCCCTCCAAGCTGTCGATGGACCTCGCGCCGTCGCGCCAGCCCCCTGAACCCTCATCCAAGTACTTGTACTGCAACCCCGTTTGAGCCCCAGCCCCCGGCCCGCTGTGGGCCGGCAGCTTGTAGACGACGAACCTGGAGGTAGACGAATGGACAGAAATAGAGAAAAGGGAAGAGAAAGCTTCCCCACGGAGCACAGCAGTCCCCAGTCTGGCTCCAGGGGATGAGTCGCCTGCGCACTCACCAGTCTACAGGCTGCTCCGAGTCTCCGTAGCAGGTCAGGGTCCCTGCAGGAACCCACAGAAGTGCGGCCAGCAGCAGCGGGCTCAGTGCGGCCATGGGGGTGGAGGAGAGGAATCTGTGTTGGGACCGCGGGGCGCTAGATCACGAGTTGGGTCAGGCCCGATCCCTGGAGACTTTCATTTCCCTAAGCCATCAAGGGAACCTAGGGCGGGACCCCATGGGGTGGAAACTCCGCCCCGAAGTGAGAAGTAGAGATTTGAAAGGACAATCCCGGGTCCTCCGGGGCTGGGGTTCCCTTTGGGTACTCACTCCCCGTAGGTACCGCCCCTAGCGAGCCAGCCTACGGCTTCCTACTTCCAGTGGATTTGACGCTTGATAAGCTCCACCCTCTGATTCAGCCCAGACCACTCCCTTTTATGGCCCAGTGGTTTCCCTTGTCCCGCCTTCGACTCCGCTCCAATGACCGCTCTGTCCCTCCGCTAGGCTCCGCCTCTGTCTCTTCCGATTCTGGCTAATCCCAATCCACTCCCCTGCCGGACCCTGCTCCTCCACGGCTTCTGGGTGAGGCGCAAATCTGGGTTTTTCTTCTCCAGCTTCCCCCGAGGTCCAATTCTTGGGACTTTTGTTCCCTCAAGGAGCGGGGAGGGGTTTGTGCTCCTTGTCCTCTCCCTTCTCATTCTGCATGTTTTCCCGGTCACCCCCTGAGCTAGCGAAGGGGTCACTCTGGCTCCTGGCAGAGCAAAGGGGGCTGTGGTTTTGGGGCCGGGCTGAGGGCTTTTAAATAAGGGACATGATACCTGTGAATGTCCCTGAGGTTCAAGGTAAAAAGTATGGAGGGTGGAGCCTGATTTGGGGGCGAGGGAGGAGGGCCAGCAAGGCCTGCGGTACCCGGGGCGGGTAGGGGGGCGGTCGCTGGGGTTTAGGAGGTGAGTGTGAGGGTATATCCCTACCTGCCAAATCACCTCTGGAGTTGTAACTTCCTCCCACCTTTCAGAACCCAAAACTCACAAAAGTCATGCCACAGCTGAAGCTTTATCTAGGAGGGGCATTGTTATTGCTACAGGGCCCATAACCATTCGCAGCAGGTGCCAGCCACTATGCGGGTCTTCAGAAGTGTCGATGTGAAGACCCCCTTCTAGGTCGAGGGTCTCTGAGAAGCCTCACCACATAACCCCTCCCACTGCCCAGGGCCGCCCGTGAGCTGGTCTGAGGGTCCAGGGTTTTAAGGGTCTGTCTCTGTCCCAAGTGTCTGATTGTCCATCTGAGTCCATTTATTGGAGGTCTGTCTGGCTGGGTCTGCATGACCCTAAGGAAGTCTCCGTGTGGCTCCCTGTGGCTGGGGACATGTGGGAGTTCCCGTCGGAGGCTCCCCAGGGCTCTCTATGGGCCAGCCCTTGATCTTTGGGGAGATCTGTGGGGCCGCTTGTCCGAGCGAGGGTCCATCCGAGGGAAAACCACTCTGCGTGGACCCACTGTTGTTCCATCCCCAGTCCCCAAGAAGGTCCAAATGCCAAGGGCAGGGGGGGTGAGGGGTGGCTCAAAGGTGACGCTTCATGTGCAAGGCCAGATGATCTGAGCGCGAAAAAGCGCGCGGACAAAGCTGGCAGCGGAAGGGGCGCTGTCCGGTGTGTTTCCGGTAGTGGCGGGTCAGCTCGTCAGAGCGCGCGAACCGCCAGCCGCAGCCGTCCCACGTGCAGGCGTAAGGCTTCTCCCCTGGGAGGCGAGGGAACGGTGAGTGCCGGGGTCCGCCCCAACCCGCCCCCGGTGCCGCCACTGCATCTGGCCGCACTCTTTTGCTCAGCCTCGACCGGTACTAGCGTGAGGCAAGTGAGGCGCCTCAGGTGCGTAAGACAAGGAGGCACCCACTCTCAGGGGCGCGCCCCCGGGTCCCGCCCTCTGCGACCCCGGCCCTTCTGGTTCTGCAGCTGCATTTGGCGCCACGCCTGTTTTCAAGTCCTGGGCCCAGGTCTGGTCCCCTACACACCGGCCCGCTCCCTGTGCCCTGGTACCATGCCCCTGCATCCACAAGTCGTGCGACCCCCGTCCTTTGGCCCTGTCCCCTATGGTCCAGCCTCTCCTTGCTCCCTGGGACCCTCCAGCGGCTGCCCAAGCCTGCTCCTCGCCTTGACCTGTAGAGCCCGGAAATCCACCTGGCGTTTCAGGCCCTGTCTGCTCTCCTCCTGCTACACCTGGCCCCACCCTCATGGTGACTCCTAAAGCAGCGATTTTCAACCGATGTGCTAAAAGAATTTTTAAAACATGCTATACCTGACTGTTTTAGTCGGGGACATCGGCTCGACTTCTTTTCCCTTAGAATGTCAATTTAAAAAAATGACAAAGGCCAATAGCCATCCAGTGTGAATACCCTATCTTGAACCATAAATATGTAGGTAATATAATGGGGTTCCATCTTATTGGTCGCAGAGTAAGTTTGTGTCTGACTCGTTAACTCTTGGTACCAGAAATCCTTATATAAAAGTATAGACACTTGATTTTTTCAAAAAGTCACTTTGGGGCAAAATTGGTAGATTATTATTATGTAAATCAGTCCAAATTATTCATATTTTTGTCAGACCCACAAAAGTAAATAATATTTTTTGGTGTGCTGCAGAATTTTAGTAATTAGTTTGTGTGCTGTGAGACCAAAAATCTTGAAAATCGCTGCCCTAAATCAGGCCCCACTCTTCCTCCTCCGCAGCTCTATTGCCGGGCCCCGCCTCGGTCTTCCTCGCCTTGAGACCCAGCTTTTCTTGTGTCCCCTCTTCTAGGTTTTTCAAGCTGTTTCTCTTTACCCTCCTGGAACCGACTCGGCATCTGGGCACATGAAACTGCTTCTACCCCCTTATCTCCCCTCCTGAGCTCCAGACACGGCTCCTACAGTCTGGCTCCGCCTCCATGCAAACAATCTACTCTATATGCTCCAGGCTCCAAGTCCCTGAGCCCCTTGCTCAGCTCCCTACTTGCCGCAAACCTGAGCCTTGTGTCTTTGGCGGGGTCCCTGGCTCGCCTAGCTTGGCCCCTCCCCGCAGTCCCTCCTCCAGCCCCGCCCCCTACGCCATTGGCCAGGCTTTCTGCTACTCAGCCCGGGCCCAGGCTTTACCTCTAAGTTCTCTGAAACGTTCCTCAGATTTTCCAGGTCCTCCTTCTGCCCCCACTAGCCTCCCACACCGCTACCTGTCCCCTAGCCCTGCCTCTGAGGGTCCAGTTCCGCTCCCAGCTGCCTCTGTCCGTCCCCTTGCTCTGAGATTCTGCTTTAGCCCCACCCTTCTGTCATTACGGGTCCGCCCCCTGAGCTGGGCCTTCTCCTCTAGGACCCTCCCCTTTCTCTCGTTTCGCGCTCCTGGCCACTCTCAGCTCCCGAGGTCCCGCCTCCGAGCCCGAGCCCGAGCCGGAGCCCGGCTGCCTCACCGGTGTGCGTTCGCAGATGAGCCTTCAGGTGCGAGCTCTTAGTGTAGCTCTTGCCGCAGCCCGGGTGCGTGCACGTGTGCGCCGCCTGCCTCCTTCGCGCCCAGGAGCGCCGGCTGCGCTTGCATGGCGCGGTCTCCGCGCTCTCTCTTGAGTCTCCTCCGGTTACCCCGAGTCCCGCACCCGCCGTTCCGGGTCCCAGACAATTCAGGAAGGTGGGGGGCGCGGCGGAGCTGGTTGCAGGCGCTGGGAGCCCGCGAAAGAGCTGGAAGTGACCTTGGTACTGCTGGGCCGGGTACAGCGCTGGGTACCCGGACAGCAACCCATAGGGGGAACCGGGCGCCGCAGGCACTGAAAGCCCGGTCCGCGGAAAGTAGCTGCCGGAGGAGCTCACACCCGGTCCCGGGTACACTGGCTGCAGCGGGAGCGCCTTGGGCTCAGGGGCCGGAACCAGGGCTGGGCTCATGAAGGAGTCAGGGGCTGGGGCTCTTGGGGCTGGGCGCGCCCAGCCCGGGTGCTCCTCGGGACCTAAGAGCCCAGCCACCAGCCCCAGGCCGCCCCCGTGCGTGCCCAGGGTCTCGGGCTGCGGTGGGAATTGCGTCCCGGGACCTTCGCCCGGTGCCAGAGCGGAGGTCTGAAGCACGCCGCCCGGCTCCGGACCCTGCAAGTTGGTGAGGAAGAGATCCAGGTCCCAGGCAGTGGCCGCGTCCTTATCGTCGTCTTCTTCCTCTCCAGGCGCGTCCTCCGACTTTGGCCTCACATGGAGGAGCGGCCGGGTGGGGTCTGGGGGACCGGGGCCCAAGCCCTGCACGTCCTCAAAGCGCCACCACTGTGGGAGAGAGCCAGTAGCGTGAGGCTTCAATGGCCACCAGGGTACCCTGCCCAGAGATTCCTAAAAGGGGTCTTTTTGTTTGTCTGTGATGTCTGTCCCAGTCCCTCACACTGCCCTCCTTCCGTATCCCGCGCCCCCCACCCCCACGCCCCAGCTTCAGGGACAGAGGTCGCTAGGGTCTGGCTGGCAACAGGAGATAAGACTTACACTATCTGGAGCTGAACTCAGGCATGGGGGAAGGGGTGGCAAAGCCAAGAATGGAAGGCAGGAGTGGGCAGCCTTGCCTCAATTTCCCCCCAGAATCTCCGACTCCTTCCCAGTCCCCCAACAAGATTAACCCCCAAGATTAATTCTTGGATGTCCTCTAGAAAGCTTTGTTCTCTGCCCCCCCAAAGCCTGGGGTTGTCTACTGAGCCAAGACCCCCACAGTGTTCAGCTTCAAGACTCAGTTTTCCAAGACAGAAATAGGCCTTTAGACCACGTTCAGACTCCTGGACCAGGCTGAGGACCCCCAGGCCTGGCCAGGTCTTTGGATTCTTGGGCTAGATGCAGGCCTGATCCCTAAGCTCTGTGACTACAGCCACAAACCCCAGCCAGCCACCTAGACCCCGCCTGCCCTCACCTTGAGGAAGTCTTCCGGTGTTTCTGGAAAAGGGCCTAGGGCGGTCAGCGTACTGATGGACGGCAAGGTGGTGTCCGCTGTGGCCATAGCTGGTTGGTGCCCACCCAAGGGCCTCAGGGCTCCTCTCCCTCTGTGGCCTCGTGGGCTCTGAGGCTCTGATGGCCCCTTGGAGGGTTCCTCTGTCCTCAGCTGATTGGCTGCAGCCCCTGATAAGGGTCAGGCAAGGCAGGGGGGTGGGGGGGGGTCACCATTTCTGGGGAACAGACTTTGCCTTGGCCTGTTTGGGGCAGAGCCTTAAAGGCTGACCCTGTATCCAAAGACCAGCCAATTGTTTGGGGGCTGGGGGCTCAGTGGTTTGGGGGTTCAGGTGTTGGATAAAGTAAGGCACTGGCTTTCCAAAAAAGGAGAGACTTTGCGGACCTTCTCTAAGTTACCTACCTGGAGAAGGGTGACAGGCAGAATGGGGATTCTGAGAAGGGGCTTCTAGATCCCCCTCTCTTTCAACTGGGGCCCTGAAGTCTTCCCCCTCCCCTCCAAAAACAGAAACAACCATGCTGATGGCGGGACTTGGCACAAACTCCCTGCCAGGCCAAGCATTATCAGACACCCCAGATGTTGGAGGCTGCTATCAGGTGGGGGCCCAGGAGAGCTAAAGCTCTGTCTTTGGTGAGTGGCAGGGCTAGAAGCTAGGGCTTCACTTTAGCTTGGCTTGAAATTGCCTGGGTTAGGAACTCTCAGGGCTGACCCCGGTGGCAGGAGGGACCCCTACTAATCAGCTTCCACTGTCTACCATGGACCCCTCAGGGGGCGCTGCAGAGAGTGGGGCTTTGTGGGGGTTGAGGCTGGTTGCCACTGCAGCTGGGTCTGGGGAGACGTTGGCCTCCTCACCTGGATGGAATGGAACCATCGGATCAGACCACAGGAAGTACCCGACCTGCAGGAGACCTACACCAACCTGGCCCTGGCCCTGGCCCTTGCTGCTGCCTCATTTCTGTCCCACATGGGGGCAGGATCCAAGCTGCTGCACCAGGGACCTCTACTGTGGTGCTCTGAGAGCCCAGGGTGGGGGCAACATGGGCACACATCACAGACATACAGTTCACACATACACATATACAATATGCAATCACACAGTGACAGAAACTCCTGGCCACCTCAGCCACACTGCCCGTCCAGTCCCGGCACACATAATTGTGTCTGTGCATCACATAAACCATGCAGTCAGGAAGACACAACCATTTACTATCTGGTTACACAATTGTTGCAGTCACACAATCCCTTAGACATAGAATTCATAGTCACACAGGCGAGTGCTCACACAGTCACACAGTTACCCAGTCACACACAATTGTACAGTTAGGCTGACAGGATTCAATTACAACTAAAGAGACACATGGGGATTCCTGGATATATTGTCACAAAACTATAGAAGATGTAGCTGCGCAATCCTGTCAAACACAGATGGCAGCCTCAGATACAAAAGCATGAAAACAGCGGCGCGCAACCATTCACAAACCCACAGTGATGTAGTCACGCACGCAGCTAACATCAGACACAGGCACAGTCACACAGTGCCATGTAAAGTCTACAATCTTGTAGTGACGCCACCTGTTACTGTCACAGTGTCTACAGTGATTACTTACACAATTGTACAGATACCAATGTTCAACCGCAGGGGGCGCACTCATCCAAATGCAGGCAACCACACCAACACGGAAAATTAAACACCCTGAGAGGGAAAGACACACGACTCTGCCCAGGCATGGACACATCACCACAGACACAGTGAGAATTGGTGTCCCAGAAATGCATCACAGAAGAGGACAAAGTTATCTCGTACTGCACGAGGGGTGGGGGGCAAAAAGTAATGTAAAAGCCAGTTCTTCAAAAAAAAAATATATATATATAATAAAGATTATATTTTAAAAAAGAAAAAGCTCTTCATACCAGCTAGGATGACATTAAGAGGGAAAAAATAGAATAAAACAATTGTTGGCAAGGATGTGAAGAAATTGGAACCCTAATATACTGCTGGTTGGAATGTAGAATGGTGCAGCTACTGTGGAAAACAATTTGATGATTCTTCAAAGAGTTAAACTTAAACCATATGATCTGGCAATTCCACTCCTAGGTATATACTCAAGAACTGAAAACACGGACTCAAACAAGTATTCGTGCACGAACATTTACAGCAGCTTTACTCACGATTGCCAAAAGATGGAAACAATGCAGATGTCCATTCTCAGATAAGTGGATAAACAAAATGTGGTCAGTTCATACGGTAGCAATATTATTCAGCCATAAAAGGGATGGAGTTATAATAATACATGGCACAATGTGGATGAGCCTCAAAAACAAGTGAAAGAAGCCAGTCACAAAAAGCACAAAGTGACATATTACATGATCCTACTTATATGAAATATCCAGAATAGGAAAATCTGTAGAGACAGAAAGATTAGTGATTTCCAGAGGTTAGGAGGAGGAGGGAATGGGGAGTGACTGCTAATGGGTACAAGGTTTCTTTTTGAGGTGATGGAAATGTTCTGGAGTAGAGGGGGTGGTTGCACAACATTGCGAATGTACTAAATGCCACTGGATTGAACACTTTAAATGCCCCATTTCACGTTATGTGAGTTTTACTTTAAGAAAATAAAATGTCTGGAATTAAAGTGGTTTTCTGGAGAGGAAAGCAAAGTCTCATTTAGGGAGAGAGCTCCTTGGTTTAGGACAAAACATGAAACAGTCATGTTTGGCTCTGAAAGATGAGGCAAGAGAGTGAGGGTCCAGGGAGAAAAAGGCTTTTGGCTGGGAGATAGGGCCTCTTAGCTGATGTGGCCAGTAGGAATAATGGACTTTGAAGGACAGCAAGGTCTGAGCTTATACTTGGGTTTCTCCCTGGGCATAGAGAACTGCCGCATCCACAACAGCTCCAGGGCAGGGAGCTGTGGAAGAAAGGAAGAAGTAGCAGGAGAGAAGTGTCCAGAACAATAAGAACTATGCAAAATCCCAACTGTTTCAGGGTAATGACGGACTGCCTGTTGTGTGAGGAAGGAGATTCAAACCATTCTATTTTGATATTCAGGACAGTAAGGGCCCAGAAAATGGGAGAGTCCAGGGACACCCAGACCCCAGGCACCTGGGGACTGGCAGGCCTGTGAACACATTCAGACACAATCCCACAGTTACTCCCATCACACTCAAAGGCAAAGGATGTTACACACACTGCACCACCTGGAGGATCTATGTGGGAAGAAGTGTTCCTAGGTAGGCAGGGGCCTGGCCTAAGAATTGGGGCGCCTGAATCCCAGTCCTGTCCCCTACTCTGCACCTGGCCCACTGTGACCAGATCTGTTTTGCTTTCTGGGCCTTACTTTCCCAAATGGCAATGAGCAGGTCATGTGTCTTTCAGATACAGATATGGTCAAGCATGATGCACCCAGATAAATGCCAACGACACAAATCAAATGTTCTTTTTTTTTTTTTTAACCCTCACCTGAGGACATTTTCTCATTGCTTGTAGAGAGAGAGGAAGGGGGAGGGAGGGAGAGGGAGAGAAAGACAAGAATGTGAGGAACGTTGATTGGCTGTCTTCTCATGCGTGCCCCATCTGGGGATCAAACCCAGTCTGAGTATGTGCCCTGATGGGGAATCGAACCTGAGACTTTTTGGTCTACAGGACAATGCTCCAGCCAACTGCGCCTCACCTGCCAGGGCCACAAATGTTCTTAAAAGTGACCTAGCTAAGTGAGCCACTCTCTCACACATGTCAATTCAGGTACATAATTACACACAACTGCTCACAAAGCAAAATACACTGACACATATATACACAATCACAGATGTAAACAAATACATTTAGTCATATCACAAAGATAACAGCCACACCTAGAGAGAAAACCACCAAAACAGTCATACACACAGTACCATACAGACGCAATCACACGAGCTTACCATTATACAAGCTTACAATTACACAGACAAGAAACAACAAAAACATTCAGCCGCACTTACAGACACCATACAGTCACAGTTACAAAACCACTCACAGTCAACAGTCCTAAACGTTACAGGCGTGGTCAGTCCCATCCACATACAGATAGATACACAGTCACTCGGGCACAATGACACACATAGATGCCCAGAATCACATAGCACCAGGAATCACACCACTTCACACTCAGTCACACGCGGCTACACGTGCTTCTTGGGCCAGACTAGCAGACAGGTTGGGCTGAGAGGGCCTGGCAGAGCCCACCTCCTCCTCCTCCTCAAACACACAGCACCGCGTTAGAGGAGACTTCCGGGTCTGGACTTATTTTTCTCCGGCCTCAGTTTTCCTGTTTAACTCTAGAACCCCTTCGCACACGCCTCCTGCAACTGACCAACCAAGAGTGGGCCGAGCCCCCTACTAGGGCCAATCAGAGCAGGAATACAGATTTCTCGCGCTTGCGCTCGCGCTCTCGCTCGCGCTCTCGCTCTCTCTCTCTCTCTCTCTCTCTCTCTCTCTCTCTCTCTCTCTCTCTCTCCCCCCACCCACCCACCCCCTCCCCACCCCTCTTTCCCTCTTCTGCTCCTTTAAGGGGCTAGCATTTGTCCGCCTGAATCTTCCAGCTTCCTCCGGCAAAGCCTGCCATCGCCCTTTTAAAATGCAGATCCCTGTAGGAGCCGGATTTAGGACGAGCCAATGAGAGGCCCCATTTGGCCTCCGCCCCTCCCACCCCGGCCCGAGGTCAAAAGCCTTTGTCACTTGCACAGGTGCTTGTGAGGGCAGCAGGAAGGCACCTAGTAGGGACGTGTGAGGGGAGCCAGGGGCTAGGGCTGCCCGCGGGTAGGATCCGCTCCTCTCTGACGTCCCCGCTCCCCCAGGTCCGCCGAGGTTGCTGCGCTCGCCCGCCCACATGGCCCTGAGAGGCGTTTCCTCGCGGCTACTGAGTCGCGGACCCCTTCTGCTTTTTCCGCGCACCTGGGGCTCGGCCGCGGCGCTGACTGGTCAGTGCTGGGGCGGGGGGAGAGTAGGGAGGGTGGAAGTGGACCCTCTGGGACTTTTCCCGGGTGATCTTCTTGTCCTGTGTTTGCAGAGAAGGGCGGAAAGACACAGAGCCGACCTGACAAATGTAAGGATCCCTCGTCACACGCGTGCCTGAGGCCCTTGGCCCACAGTCTGTCGGCCCGGGTGGGGTCTGTCCCAGCGTCCGAGGGCTGCCAGGGCGGGGAGGCAGGGCCGGAGGCGCTGTGTCAGCAGTGAGTTTCCGGAGAAAGGCCCTCTTGCCAGCCCTGTTTGCAACCCACATCCAACCTCGAGCCAGATGTGGGTGGAGGATTCTGGAGGAGGAGGGAGCAGTGGGCTGAGGGAGGTGAGGGCCAGGCTGAGTTGAGCCCCTGCTCCTTGTCCCAGCCTCGCGCCCCAAGTTTGACTGGAGGGATCCGCTGATGCTGGAGGAGCAGCTGACCGCTGACGAGATCCTCATCAGGGACACTTTTCGCAACTACTGCCAGGAGCGCCTCATGCCCCGCATCCTGCTGGCCAATCGCAACGAAGGTGCCCAGGCGGACTAGTGGGCACCCTCCACCATACACACCACCTCTGCCTGCTCTAGCCAGGCCTCTGGGCCTCTCTGTCCCTGGTCTGGGGGCTCCAGTGGGCTAGGGCTGGGCCTGAACTTGGGTATCTGTCCTTTTGCAGTTTTTCACCGGGAGATCATTTCGGAGATGGGGGAGCTTGGTGTTCTGGGCCCCACTATCAAAGGTAGGGACAAGTTGATCTCCACACTCTGCAGCCCCAGGTGTGTGCTGGAAAGCCCCTTCACTTCCCTGGGCCTGGGTTTCCCAGTCTATAAAGTGAGGCTGTTATCCCTCTGTCCACTTCCAGGTATGAAACGAATAAACGTCATAGCTTGGTGCCCCCTCCTTGGGTAGCCCCTATGTGTCTCTGTCTCTTGGGCCTCAGGAGTCCCTGGTCCTCTGGGCGGGGTTTGTCCCACATTGCCCCACCTCCCCTCCCCCCTCCACTCCCAGGGTATGGCTGTGCTGGAGTCTCATCTGTGGCTTACGGGCTCCTGGCCCGGGAGCTGGAGCGGGTGGACAGTGGCTACAGGTCAGCAATGAGTGTCCAGTCTTCCCTCGTCATGCACCCCATCTATGCCTATGGCAGTGAGGAGCAGAAGCAGAAATACCTGCCCCGGCTCGGTGAGTGGCTTCTGGTGGAGCCTGGTGGGAGATAGTCACAGTGGTCTGGAACTCAGGATGGGGCTATCCCCTGAGCCTCCCTTCTGTCCCCACGTCGAGAATAGTACCAAGGGCCACCTGGACCCCCTTTCAGAGCCTGGGCTTCATCCCTTTCTAGCTGTCTCTTGACTCTCTCCGGCCCTGTCTCACCACCATCACCTCCGTGTCTCCCTCTTATTTGCTTTCTCTCTCCCCGATCCCAGCCCAAAGTTTAAAGTCTTAACTTCCTGGTTGGGTCCAAGAGACCTCTGGTGACCTTTCACTCCCACCCATGGTCACTCTCGACTGCTCTGCCCTAGTCAGACTCAGCTACTTGGAATTGTCTAAATGTATCACTGGGCCTTTGTCCAACCTCTCCCCACTGCCAGGACTGCTCTTCCCTATACCTCCTCTTGTTTAGCGTTGACCACCCTTCAAGACAGTTTAGGTGACTTCTGTGGGGCCCCTTCCCCATCATGGCATTGTGACTATGATGCGGCAGCGGGGGGAGGGGCCTGTTCTTTCACTACTTATAAGTGCTATGAGAGCAGAGCCAGATATGCCTTAGCCTGTCTTAGTGGAGAAGGCGACACTTCAGTTGAGGGTGTAAGTGAGTGACAGGTAGACTCATAACCCTATTTCATGCCTACAGCCAAAGGGGAGATCCTGGGCTGCTTCGGGCTCACGGAGCCCAACCATGGGAGTGACCCTGGCAGCATGGAGACCAGAGCCCGCCATAACCCCCCTGGCAGGAGCTACACTCTCAATGGGGCCAAGACTTGGTGAGGAGCCTCGTCACCTCAGGTGGGTGGGCAGGGGCAGGGGGGCGGCGGCCAGACCCTCACTGCCTCTCCCACCCCCAGGATCACCAACTCGCCTGTGGCCGACCTATTTGTAGTATGGGCTCGGTGTGAAGATAACTGCATTCGGGGCTTCCTACTGGAGAAGGGGATGCGGGGTCTCTCAGCCCCCAAGATTGAGGGCAAGTTCTCCCTGCGGGCCTCAGCCACCGGCATGATTGTCATGGATGGTGTGGAGGTGCCAGAGGAGAACGTGCTGCCCAATGCCTCCGGGCTGGCGGTGAGCAGAAGCCACCTTGGGAACTGGTGTTGGGTCATATGCTCATTCACTTTTTTTAGGCAGGCTTTATACTGGGGACCCAGCTGGGACCAGACAGACAAGGTGCCTGTGCACCATCCCTTTCTGGTGACTATCTCACGCATAGTGGCTCTGCCCAGGACTCATGGGCCTGAACCAGCTTAATCCTTTGGTGCACGCCCATCTCGTCTCCTTATGTCAGCCCCTAGACCTGAGCAGCCAATCCAGATCCTGGACTGGGTAGAACTGTATGCAAACCAAGAGTGAGCAGGCACTAAGCCAAGCCTGCCTTGCATGAGCTTTGGTGCCAGGGCCATGTGTGATTTCAATGGCTTCCCTGGGTCCCCCCTTTTACACTGACTGTGCCTGGGTGTCTGAGGAGGTATCCCCCTACTTCAGAGGTGGTTCCGCACTGACTCTCTCAGCTCCTTCTGGATGGGGCTAAGACCCCCCCTCTCAATCCTACAGGGTCCCTTTGGCTGCCTAAACAATGCCCGGTATGGCATTGCATGGGGCACTCTTGGAGCTGCTGAGTTCTGTTTTCACACAGCCCGGCAGTACACTCTGGACAGGTGAGTGGGGGCTGCCTTGAGAGCTTCTGGGGGCACAGTGGGACTCTGGTTCCATCCTTTAACCCGCTGGTGACTCCCCAGTCCCCACCCTCCAGACCTAAGTTCCCTGCTCTGTGAAATGGCTGGGGAAGTGATGGGCTGAGTCAGTGACAGGGCCAGGGCACACTGCAGGGGTTGAGCCGGCCTGGAAAGGCACCTTGGGCCAGTGGGGCCCTGGGACAGGACTGGGAATTGGGCGCCGCCTGCCACACTTTAACTTACCCTGACTGTTCCTGCCTAGGATACAGTTTGGTGTCCCACTGGCCAGGAACCAGCTGATTCAGAAGAAGCTGGCGGACATGCTCACTGAGATCACACTGGGCCTTCATGCTTGCCTGCAGCTTGGCCGCTTGAAGGATCAAGACAAGTAGGTGCCACTTGTAGGAGGGGGCAGAGGGAAACAGCTGTGGCAGAAGGACCCTGTGCTTCCCCCGGGTCTGGGGTTTGCTGGCCCTGAGGAGAAAGGTCCTTCCTGCCTGGTGGCCCTTGGGGTCCCAGTCTGTTTTCTTTCTCTTGGCCTCAGTGGGCCGGGACCCACCCTGCTTGTCCCTCACTGGGAACTTGGTGTCTGCTTCTTTGACAGTAACATGGGAAATGTCCCCCCCCGCCCAGCTGGTTTGCCTAGGGCGTAGGGGTTCCTGGAGCAGGGCCAGTTCTTTATGGTCAACACTTGTTACATGTCTGTGCTGCCTCAGGGCCACCCCAGAAATGGTCTCCCTGCTGAAGAGGAACAACTGTGGGAAGGCCCTGGACATCGCCCGCCAGGCCCGAGATATGCTGGGGGCAAATGGGATTTCTGACGAGTATCACGTGATCCGACATGCCATGAACCTGGAGTCCGTGAACACCTATGAAGGTGGGGGCCGGATCCACACCTGGGCATAGTTACAGTGGCCTCACTCTGGAGAAGAGGGGCAGGGGGGAGAGTGGGGTCAGCAGACCCGAGCCCTACTCCCAGCTGTGACCACTGACAGCATGACCAGAGGCAGGTCCCATCCTGTATCCGTCATCTGGAGCAGCTCACTCTGGGACCTAGGTGGCGAGGTGCTCTCTGGCCTTTCCTTCATGGTGCTTGCAGGACGGGCGTACCCAAGCCTGCTGCGGGCTTCCTCAGGCAGCCCGGGTGGGGCAGGGTGCCCCGTGAGCCGGTGATGCAAAGGAGAGTACACATAGGCCACTCCATGTTAAGAGGAAAAAAGAAGAAAACATTTGCAGACTGTGGTGTTTGCAGCTGGTAACTGGCTGGGATGCAAATGGGGCCCAGAATCCATTGCCTCATGGGAAAATAGATGTAGAAAAAGTGGGACTCAGTCCTTGGAGGTCTAGAAGCTCCCTAGGCAGAGACGGTGAAATAGCTTCTGTGTGCTCTTCTGGATGGGACATTCCAGAAACTGCAAGAGGGGAGGGTTGGGGGGATCTGACATGTGAGGGAATGACCTCAAGAGTAAGAGGAGGGGCCTTCAGATGGTTTTATGAAGGAAAAGGAAGGGGTAAAGTGTACACTTTAGAAAGTAAACAATTATCTTGCTTCATATGAGGGAAGCAGTAATCTCTGCCTTCTGCCCCTGGAAGCTGAGGAAGATCAAGTGAGAGCACTGAGGCGTGTAAAATGTTACCCAGACTCAAAGGGGTGGGGTGTGGGTGGCAGCTTCGCTCAGCTGTGCAAGCCATTAAGTGGTGTTTGCCTTCCCATCCCTCCTGTGGATGAGGAAGGGCCTGATATGTTTCCAGAGCCCATCAGAGCTCTCCACCTCAGTGGGAAGGAAGCGTGGCCGGGTTGAAAATCAAACGTTTAATGAATTGTGCAGGGCTGGGGTAGGGTAGATTTGCCACATGTTAGGGACACCAAAGCTGGACCCATGATGGTGGCTGGACTCACTGCCTTCAGGTCTGGCACAAGTTTGTTTGTTTTTTCCAAGATGCATTACAGAACTGTGAGAAACAATTTTCTCAGTGCGGCCAGAATGGGGGCCTCCAAGCCTTCTCTTGGTGGCTGTCACTAAGAGGTGACTCTCTCAGAAAGCTGTCAGCAATCGCCATCTTTATGGGTTTGTTCTTCTTCCAAAGTAGTAGCCTGGGGAGAGACATGAAGATTGACTTTAAAGGGAAGTTGTGAGCTGTTAAGACTCCAAACTGACTGCATTTATCTTGTCCAGGTACTCATGACATTCACGCTCTGATCCTCGGAAGGGCAATCACAGAGACCCAGGCATTCACGGCCGGCAAGTGAACACACTTCCCACAGGAGCCTGGATGGTCCTGAACCCCTTCCCAGGGAGCTGCGCTGCTCTGAGCTTACTCGGGGAGCTGGCGGATGGAGCCAATTTTTAGGGTGGGAGGTGAGACACTGATTTTTAAATTTCAAAATTTCCCTATCGAAGTCACTCAAATGTGCTCCTTAAAAAGATGATGGAACTCTATGTACCAAGTTTCTCAATCTACGTTTAACCATGAATGGGAATGGACTCCACTTAACTTGGAACAGAAGCTTCTCTTGACAGGGAGCAGGGAGAGGAAAGAGAGTAACACAGAAGCAACTTCTATGAGACCTGACCTGGTATCTGACCGAGCCACCACGCCTTTCATTCCCTGTGTACCCTCTGACCCTCCCATCAAGGGGATAAGTGCCTTATGCTGGACGTTGGGGCAGAATGAGGAGTAGAAAGAGAATAATAAAGAGTCTGCATGTCTGATTCTCAGTGTTGGGCCACATTTACTTAAAACCACCCTGGGAGCTCTTTCAGTCATAGGGAAAATGAACACATGTAGGGCTCTGAGGGCTCAGATGTGCTGGGGAATTCACCCCCAGCCCCCCCCACTGATCTAGCCCATGCCTGCGTCTTTGGCTCTGCTGTAATAAGTAAACCTGGTTAGGCACTGCCCGGGCTGTCGGCAGAGGGGACTTTGTCCTTTCTGTCACCACACAGCAGTAGGAAATGACAATGGACTGGATTCTCAGCTCCAATACACCATATTACAGGGGAGCATGGAGCCACAAGCGAGATGGCAGGAGCACCTAGGGCTTTATGGTGATAGTAGCCCCTGCAGGGCACTAACACCCTTGGTTTCTGTTGACATTTACTTTCATCTTAGCCCCTACAACTCTCCTCAGGCATTGCCCCCTGCGTGGGTTCAGTCATACCTCTGGCTGGACACATAGGTCTTTGTACACAGTCTCCACAGTATGGCATACTTGTTTGAGTTCTGTTTCCAAATGGCTGATCTTTGCCATTTTCTGGGTGAACTCTTGGAGCTTTTCCTGAATGATCTTGTTGTGGCAATTATAAAGCTGATACATCCTCTCCTCTAGTTTCTCTGCGAGGTCAGAAACCTTTTAAACAATAAGACGTGTTCTTTGAAAATCAAACTAGAAGCATCACAAGACATGTTTTAAGTGGCTCCCTAAGATTTTTGCAGTCTATCATATAAAAATGGTAAAAACAACTCCAGTGACTGGGATTGAAATTGCCTGCATTAAGAAAAATTTTTTTAAGCAAGATTGCAAAATTATGTATACGTTATATGCCCCACCAGTTTAGGAAGTAAGTACATAACAGAGTCTAGAAGAAAACATGCAACAAAGTAGCCTCTGGAAGGTGGGATCATAGCGATGTTTTTATATTTTTTTCTGATCTGTTATACTTAATTTTCTATGTGGTGGATACTGGTAGGAATGGGAGGGGGGAAAAGGGAGGGGGGAAGTCAGCCTGTTTTCAAGAGACATCCCACTCATGGGATCCCTGGTGCATTCTGAAGAAGCATCAGGGACAATCATTAACACCGGTCATGAACATAGCATCAGGCTTTGTTAGACATAAGCCCCAGTCATGTCAAGGGACCCCTAATCTCCCATCACAAACCATTTGACTTCCAGAGGAAAAATGGCTGTGTTAATGTCTCTTACTCTCATAGCTATTAGCCCTGGTGTGCAATAAGGAGGCTGGGCTATAGGTGCAGATGGACTTTGGTCCCTCATCCTGGCTCTCTCATTCAGGCAAATTATTATTTTTTAATTGATTTTTAGGGGGAGAGAGAAACACTGATTTATTTTTCCACTTATTTATGTAGTCATTGGTGCTTCTTTTATGTGCCTGACTGGAGACAGAGCCCACAACCTTGGCATATTGGGACGATGCTCTAACCATTTGAACTCCTTGGCCAGGGCAAATTATTTCTAAACTTTACTTTTCCCATCTATAAAATGGGTCCATCCTTTGCAGTACTGTTAGAAAGGTGAAATGAGGTACTATATGCAAATTGCTTGGCACCATGCTGGGAACATAACAGATGCTCAGCAGTGGTTCATTCCCTATGCCCTTCACCTTTAACATAAGGACTTTCCCCACCCCAACCACTGAGGCTTTGCAGTGTGTATGGGGAAATCTGTCACCTTGATCTTGAGGCTGTCCCTGAAGTTGGTCATGAGTGCATGGTCCTTCTGCCTGCTCTCGTTAATATTTTCAATCAGCTCCTGGGCCCTCTTCTTCAAGATCTCGATGCTTGAGTCCAAAGAGGAAAAGTAGGGTCCTGACTTCCCTTCCAGCATCATCAACTGGCGATTGGCACTGGAGGTGGCAATAGAAGGGCTAGAAACCTGACTTCTGAAAGTATAGGAAAACAAAGTCAGCAGCAAACTCTCCCCAGAGTGGCTAATCTGAATTTGCTTGATGGCAGGAGGAGAACCAGTGTTGGTTATTTCATGCACATACCTGCCCTGAGATGCAGGGACAGCATCCTCATTTTATAACTGAGTAAACAGACCCAAAGGCACACATAAAATCTGCCCAAGTTTCCAGAACAAGGAAATATGCCTGACTCTGAAGTACATAATCACTTTATGACATCGACTTGCTGCTTTGAAATGAGCATCACTAATTCTATTTATAAATAGTATAGATGGTTTCTTAGATGGCTCTTCCTATCACCAACTGGCTCCATCCTTTTCTAAATATTTTGGGAGATGTCCACAGCCCATAGTCCACCTTGGGTCTTGTGTACCTACACGACTTTGCTCCCATTGGATAAGGCAACCTGTCAAGAGTTAATTATATTAAAAGTTTTTTTAAAATCCTCATTTGAGGATATATTTATTGATTTTAAAGACAGGAAAGGAGAGAGAGAGAGAAACATCGATATGAGAGAGAAACATTGATCAGTTGCCTCCCAAATGCTCCCTGACAGGGAATCAAACTTGTAATCTAGGTATATGCCCTGAGCAGGAATTGAAGCCACAGCCTTTTGGTGTATGGGATGATGCTCCAACCAAGCTATCCGGCCAGAGCAAAAAATTTTTTAAATGCACAAAAAGAGTTAGTAATGTTTGTTCCATACTGTACACATGACTCTAATAATGTAATTCAATTAAATATGTTAGCCAGTGAAATGGTAAAAAAGTGGCAGCTGTGTAATACAGCTAAATTAAATGAATAAAAGTAATAAGTCTAATTTAAAAAAACTATTAAATCAGGGGTGGGGGAGACAACTTTAGATTAGGTCAAAGATCATAAAAGTCTAGAAGGACTCTATAGAGATAAATTTGTCATGACCTGTAAGTTTTCATTTAAAAAAAAAAAAGATTTTATTTATTTTCAGAGAGAGGGGAAGGGAAGGAGACTAGAAGAGAAATATCGCTCTGTTGCGTCTCACATGCCCTAACTTGGTTACATGGTCTACAATCCAGGCATGTGCCCTGACCAGACACTGAACCAAAAACGTTTTGGTTCATAGGGCAGCACTTAATACACTGAGCCACACCAGGCAGGGCTCACTTTCTTTAAAAATAAAACTGGGAATTGTGGGTAATATATTATTAATGAGGAGAATAAAAAATGTTGCAATTTGATCAGCAGACTTATCGCTGTTTTAAATTAAGGTGAAATGTTTAAGGTTAACTTTTTCTTTTTTTTGTTTTTCTGCTTTATCTGTCAGCACTTACTATCTGCCAGGCACCATGTCGCTGCACCCTGACGACCAGGCGCTGGGTTCTGTCTGCTCATCATCTTTACCTCATAGCTGAGGACACAGGCTCAGCCTGGCCACTTTCTCAGGGTCACCAGCCAGTCTGTGGCAGAACTGGGTGTGGCATACAGGTTGCCTGTCTCACAGCCTATGTCCTGCTTCCTCTTGGGTCCTCAGTACCCATCTTGCCCTCTGAGGTCCTTCCAACTCTGAGACTTGGAAGTGCCAGCCACCGCAGCGGTTCCTGTACACACCAGTTCACACACAACTGTAAAGTCAGCCATGACTGGAAGCCAGTCAGTCACTGCATACTTAGAAAAACACAACTTGATTTTCTGATGCTTTCTTCATGGAACTCCTTTTCTTAGCTTTTTCTGATACCCTGAGCTCTTCCTTTTGGCTGAGGACAGAAGTATAGTAAAACTCTAGTAAAAGAGCCTGGGTGGAGGGAGTCACATCTGTACAAAAGTTCACAGGCCCAAGGATTTGGCTGTGTCCTGTTCCTCATATATTCCTTGCCAGATTGCTTCTTGCCTCTATGCCTTTGCGCCTGCTCTCTGACTTGACGTAGGAGACCTAACCGGACCACTAACTCCTTTGAGAAGCTCTCCAGGACCTCTGTGCCTACCGTTGCATAGCTTGTCTCTGCTCACATCCCTATCTCTTCAGAGAGCTGCATCCCATTTATCTCTACATTCCTAGCATCCAGCACACAGTAAGTCCTCCACTGTCTGTTGACTGAATGACAGACACCTTCTGTCATATCTATTCCTCCCTCCTCTGGCTTCCCACACAGCATGCAAGTTCAGTGGCCTCCAAGACAAGATGCTGTGTCCAGTGCATTTTAAGATGAGAAGGTGTCTCCAACTGAGGCAGATATTTATACGGCAAACATTTACATCAGCTAGAAAACAAGAGACTAACTAAAGGATCTGTGAGCATTCTTGTCTTGTTTGCTAAAGAATTTATGACCTTCAAGCATGCAATTACTTTTCTTCCTTAAGGGGAGGTGAGGCAGAAGGACAGGAGTTCAGACCTGTGAGTGACATAATGACATTTTAACACTCGGACTTTTGTAATATCTGGATGTATGTGGAGAACACGGAGCGCACCCAGAGTGCTTCTAAAAGGACAGCCATACTTTGCCCCAGGTGATGAAGCTGGGGACACAGGTTCAGACTCACCTGGTTTTTGACTTCCCTGAGACCTCAAGCACAAACTGCCCTGTTCTAAACCCAAGGCTCCATCACTTCACTCTCTGGCTGGCGGCCTCAGACCCTCTTCCCTTCAATTCTGTGTCACATTCACCCACTGAAACCCCACCCTGGCTATCTACAACCAAGCACTGTCTCTTTTGTCACACTCAGGAACCTGACTGACATTGAAGAAAATCACAACCCAATAAACAGGGTCACTGTAGAGTCCTGCTCTCCAGTCTCAGCAGCGTCCTCAGAGCTCTGGGTATCCTCTCTGGGCCCTGGTCATTCCTTCCATCAGCCACCCCAAAACATCATTCTCCCATCCCTGACCCCACACTTGCCTACCCGCCCCCTGAGCACTACAGAATTGTGCAGGCCAATAACCCCCTCCACTGTTCCCCATAAATGTATCCACACCGCCCTTCCTCTTTCCAAATTTCCAACAGGGTGTTGGGGGGTGAGGTATTCGGAGCTCCCAAATCCATCCCCTGTATCTCATGCTCTTGTATATTTGACCTCTCCCTTTGGCAGGTGGCCCTCCCCCACCCCCCTAGGGCATGTTCATCTTACTTTTTTTTTTTAAAGATTTTATTTATTTTTAGAGAGAGAGGAAGTGAAGAAAGAGAGGGAGAGAAACATCAAAATGTGGCTGCCTCTTGTGCGCCCCCCACTGGGGACCTGGCCTACAACCCAGGCATATGTTCTGACTGGGAATTGAACCGGCGACCCCTGGTTCACAGGCTGGCGCTCAATCCACTGAGCCACACCAGCCAGGGCTCACCTTACATTTTTAAAACACAACACATCACACACATACACACACCCTCTTCCCTCATGCATCAGTCTCCATCTACCAGTCACCTCCCTCTTTATCCCTCATCACCACCAAGATTCCAGAAAGAGATGCCAACACTTTCTGAGCACATTTTTTCCATCCCCCACTTGCTTCTTAGCCCACTGCAATTAGTTCTAAAATGAAGCAGCAATGGCCAAGTTCCCCAGTGACACCTAGCAAATATCTCCCTTCACTCTAGGCAGCAGCTGGTGCTGTTGACCACCCTCCCTGCCATTCCCGACACTTGGTGTCCTTAGGCTCTGTCCTTGGTCTCACTCTCTTTCCTTTACACCCTCACGCACACCCCTGCTCCACAGCCAGCCCCATACATCCTCCCTGTCGACCACTTCTGCCACCCCCCCAACACTCCACCCCCCTCTAATGCACAACCTGTCATTCCCCAAAGGCCCACTTATAGCCGGGAATGCGCCAGCAGTCCCTTTCCCTGAGTCCTGCCTCTTCTAGAAACTCCTCTCTGGCTGGGTCATATGCACACAGCACCTACAAAGCCACTGCCTGAACCTCACTCAGCCTTCCTCCGAGCCTGCAGCAGGGCTTGGCCAGGCTTCACTCATTCTCATATCCCCATACCTCCTCCTCACGGTAGGAGTGATAAAGGCATGTCAAATAAAATGAATGACTAGAGGGGGCTTTCACTACCATCCACACTTCCGTGTCTCCCTCACTTATAGTCCCCGGTGCACACCTCTTTCCTAAGCTCCCAACAATGACTTCCCGACTATCTCCCAGCCCTCTTCACGTGGCTCTCCCAGAAGCATCTCAAACTCCTCCACATTTGCATACCAGAATCATTCCCCCAGCCCTTACGAAAGCCACCTGGTTCCTAAGCCAGAAACTTGTCATTGAGTCTGGATCTTGGCTTCTTCCAGTCCTTTCATATCCTGTCATGACAGTCTCTTATTTCCACCTCCTTAACCTCTCTCAAATCTATCATCTCTTCATCTAATCGTTTTCAACCCTGCATTTGTCATTTCTCACCTGGCCCCAGCAACCTTAGAACTGCGACCTGAGCCCTGTCTGGTGTGGTTCAGTGGATTAAGCACCAGCCTGCAAACCAAACCAGTTCGATTACCAGTAAGGGCACATGCCTGGGTTGTGGGCCAGGTCCCTGGTTGGGGGCATGCAATGTATCTCTCACACATCGACATTTCTCTCCCTCTTCCTCCCTTCCCCTCTCTCTAAAAAGTAAATAAAATATTTTTTAAAAAACTGTACCTAATGTCCCACTCTCACTCCCACAGCCTACGAAAGCACTTCCCCCAGCCACAGGATCAAGTCTAAATTCCCCAGCACAGCACCCAAGGCCTTCTAGGGCCCTGGGCCTCTTTCTTTCCACCCTACACTCCCAGAAATTTGGAACTTCATACAATTTCACCAAATCCATCAGCCTTTTCCTGAAATGACTTTCCCTTTCTGTCAACTTTACAAGGCAGCATTCAGAGCTGCTAGTGCACCCACACAGCACCTTCGCTTCTGGATCTCGACACTCCCAGTTTGTTCAGAAAGGTTCCTTCCAGGGTGCTGAGCTGGCTGGGGGTGGGGGAGGTGTTGC